GCCTCTGCTCTAAGTAGGATTTTCTATATTAACAGGAGCAGAGATTTCCACATTAATAAAGAAAAAACGAATTTCCTTTTCCCGTGATATTCACGGCTTATTAGATCTCTCAGTGAAGTACAAAGAGGAAGACAAACATGTAAGTAGACAGACAGACAGACAGACATACGAACATATGGACAGCTGGGTGAACGGATGGATAGACATATAATTTTTTAATTTTTTTATTTGTAGTGTTCTGTCTGACGACAGGTCCATATATTATGAGCAGGATCCTTCCAACCTCTTCAGGTTGTCAGGGACCTGCTCATACATATATACATTCTTGGCAGAGATGATCAGACGTGGTTTGCCATTGCCTTCTTCTGTGTGTGAGTGAAGTAATTGTTGGGATGCCACGGAGAAACCGGGGAAGCCCCCGGAGGAAAACTCCGTGATGCCTAGACCACGGCCTTGCCCAACAAGTTATAAATTCGGGCACCGCCGGGAATCGAACCCGAGACCCCAGGATTACAAGGCCAGCGTTCTAACCGCTAGACCACCTCATCTTATTATTATGTAGTGTTCTGTCTGACGACAGGTCCATATGAACAGGATCCTTCCATCCTTTTCTCGGACTGAGACCTGTTCATATACGTTCTTGGCAGATGATCCAGAAGTGGTTTGCCATTGCCTTCTTCTGTGTGTGAATGGAGTAATTGTTGGGATGCCACGGAGAAACCGGGGAAGCCTCCGGCGGAAAACTCCGTGATGCCTAGACCACGGCCTTGCCCAACACAAGTTATAAATTTGAGCACCACCGGGAATTGAACCCGGGACCCCAGGCTTACAAGACTAGTGTTCTGACCGCTAGACCACCGTAAGGTACAGACATATAATTAGAAAGAGAGAAAGAGAGACAAACGCTGGGTAAAGATAAGAGCTAAGAGCAGACACAAGACCTCGCTTTATCAGCACCGTCTGAAGATGACCCATTTTTAAATAAGCGAAACGACTCTCTCTAGCAAAATTCGAAGATTAACAACGTTAGAAAACCATGCAACTGGCCATTTCAATTCAACTCCCTATCTCAGAACTTCGTATTTCCTTAAGACTGATCTTAAAATTATCTCCTCACTTTCCAAACTGGTTTTCCGATGACAATGTATCAGTTTATTTTGTCCATCTATCTGGTCCACTCGAATGTCACAGGCTTCGGTAGATGTCCTGGGCAAACAACTTCCATACTCGGTTAACAAAAAAGTCAAATTCAACTACTTGTTTCGTTCTCTATAAGGCCAAATATCTTTTGATACTTTTAAATATTACTCACTTCGTCATGGGGTTTCTTTTTCTAGAGACGTGATTTGTACATCGTATTTAAATCGTGTTTGAGTTTCGTGACATTTTAGTGGTAACTTAAAAATTAAGTAAAGTAATTTCAAGTCAAACTCTTATCAAACGGGCTCATCCAATCCTGCGAGACTGAACGTTGCTACAACCCAGAAGACACCCAGCTGATCCAGTGACTGTCCTCAAATCTTTCAGTAAAGCATTCAAAAGTCTACGTACCCCCATACAATTCAATGCTTCCTTTGTAACGTGTTTAGCGACGACTACTGAAAGTTTCATTTCGGCTGCATGAATTTTTGTTAACTGCGTTCCAAGAACTCATTTTCCCTGTACCATTGACGGACTCTATACATCCAGCATCACTGAATTTCAGTACTGATAGAATTTTCCTGAGGGCCCATATCAGCTCGCGGTTAAGCCACGTGGCGTTGCGAAGATCTTGTAACCCTGACGCTACCATTTGAGATAACATCGTTAGATCTGTTCTCGTGACAGGACTTGCATCGTAACTATGAAAGTAAAGAAATTCATACAAATGGAACACTGGATTAAAAGACAAGAAGTGTGTACAACAGAAAAGGTTTTATGAGTTCCACACGTAAATGATTGTTCCTTATCTGACCAGACATTTCGTGAGACTTTCTACTGTCACTACAGTAACCTTTTATGTGCTTCAATTTTGAAGTAATTACTGCACTACTCGTCGAAAGGAAGGTTTCCATCAACTTAAAACTCTCTCCCTCAAAAGTAGATCTACGAGACGCCAACACCAATGAAAGAAAAAGTTTTGTATAAATTACGTCGTATATTCATGCAGTACTGTTTTCAGTTGGCAGTGGGTGGCAAACCTGCAGAAACAAAACACGAGAGATAAGCACAAGCAGAATTTTTTTCATTTGTTTTGTTTAACATTAACAGATACATATTCTACTGATAGCGTGACTTTGAAATACTGGAAGAAACCGGTGGTAGGAATTCACATGGAGGGACTGCGAAAAAACGCGAAGAACATCAACTAGGACC